CTTCTCCTGGCTCTGCGGAATCCCTCTGTTGACCCTTCAGGGTATCCTGGGCTTACTACTGTCTTAGTCATGATACTGTGGCCCAGGGGATCCCTCACAGAGTAGGCACCATCCCTGGGCATTTCTAGTTAGTCCTGCTCACTCAGTTGTCAGCACACCCAGTTTCATGTGGTGCTGGGGCTTGAACCCTGGGTTTCATACATGCTAGGCACTCTACCAAATAAACCACACCTCCAACCCCCGGATTTGCCTTTGGGGGGAAAAGAACCTTTAAGAAATGTGTAGAAAAGAAGGTAGGTGATGAGGACTGCAGACGCACACATTTCCTGACCTTACAGGCCCCAGAAGAGGCCTGGGAGGAGCGAGCATGTGATCTAGGAACTTGTACCAGCTGCAGCTCCGAAGGACATCTGGATTTGTCATCTCTCTCTTTATCTAATGCTTTTTCCACCCACCACAGGCAGGAAACAGAGCATCCTGGTTTAAGAGGCTCTGAGGTCCTGGGAGGGTTGCTGGGGCCCTGTTTTCTCTATTTAAAAATATCTGTATTGCACATGGTATTTTTTGCTCCCACCTAGCTTATTTTAAAAGTGTTTTAATGACTGACCCAAGATTTTTTTTTGTCTCTATCGTCAGCCAAATAGATGTTTTATGGTGTGAGATCAGGTGACCCAAGAGGGGTCAGCCACGCTAGACACAGTCCCAAAGTCTGTCTCCATAAGGCTAGATAGAACCCGCACCTTCAGCTGTAGGGTCTGAAGCTAAAGATCTACAGCAAGGTGAGATGGTACAGTCTGTGTTGGAAAAGAGGGTAGATACACCGCTCAGTGAGTTTCTGTAGAAAAAAACTCCTATTGTCTTTCTTTTTCCTAGAGGATGTCTAGAGTGCATGCACGTGTCCAAGAAAGTGGTCAGTGCAAGTGAAATTCCTCCAGTTGCTCCAGGCTTTGTGACTCACACCTCCAGAATCCTCGAGACCTGTGAATTTGGTTGGTGACCTTATCATAAGTACTTCATAGTGTACAAGGCTTCATCGTTGAGCACATCTGATTCTCTCTTCCCCTCCCCCCACCCCCAGAGTGCTTAGACTACTTGCCAATGACAGAGAGGGACCACCGTCATGGGTGCTGGCTCTTTTATTGTTCTGGTTGCAGCCATCAAGGCCCTTATCATCAAATCTGTAGACTCCTCCTTGGTAGAGTCCTTCTTGTGAGGAAGGGGTTATTTTCCCTCCCCTGGAAAGGGATTTACTGTCAAGAAACTCCAAGGATGCCTCAAGCTGACAGAAAAGTCGGGGGAAGACAATTAAGTAAGATCTCCTTCTCCACTTCCCTAATTTAAAAGCTAGATTTGCTAACCCTAATCCCTAAGCCTAGCACTAAGCCCTGAGCAGGGGTTGGGGCTAAGCAAATCCTAGTTCTTAAGGCATGTTGCTGAAGAGATCTGGTCCAGACTAGTGCATTTTTCTCCCACTCTCTTCTCAGGAGATATCTGAGCACTCTAGTGAAGATGTAAGCCTATGGGGTAATCTGTAACACTGTGATTTGTTCTTGACCTCCCGGCAATCAGAGAGGATGCAAAGTCTATACCTAGCTTCAAGGTCAAAGTTGTAAGGAAGCAGAGAAGAGGCCAGGAGAGGTCTGAGCACACAATCCACACACTATTCCCAGCAACAACCAACCACCAATTCCCAGCAACCAACCATCTAACCCTAACCCTAACACACACACTATTTGCCATCCCTTCTCTGAACATGTGTGGCACACATTACATACCAGTGACGCCTATTTGTCTGTTAGATGCTTCTAACGTGGGACGAATGCTTTGCCATAACTTCGGGAGCTTAAAATTTGGCGATCACCTCATCCCGCTTCCTTCCCCATATAGGACTCTGATTACAATGCTTCTGGCAGGAGGTCATCTAGTAGTGTCTGCTTGAACTCCTCCTCCAATAGGAAACTCACTCCATGCAAGGGAAGGTGGGTCTGTGGTAGGACTCTGCCTCCAATGAAGCCTGCATCCCATTCATCATCACCTGCCTCAGTCACTCTAAATATTTGAAAAGAACCGACAGTGCCTCCCCCAGTATCTCTTCTTGACAGAAAAATCTTCATTCCCTCCTAGGATATGGTTTCCAGACACACCTCTGTCCTCTTGGCCCCGTTGTGGGTATCCCAATTAAGAGATGGACGCAGAACTAAGCCATGATTAAAAAAAAAAAAAAAAAAATCAGCACCTTTCACTCACTCCCCCTGTGACTGAACTGTTGGGCCTGATTTCTCTTCCCCACAAACATGGATATTGGATTGTACAGTCAAAGTCCCTTTGACCCCAAAGCATAACACACCTTACATTTTGGGTAAATAACTGTCACATTTGAAACCTATTAGTTCAAGCTAGTGCAGTTACCCTAAATCTTCATGTCATAATTTTTATATCCCAGCAATTCCTCCCAGTTTAATACCTTTCAGTACTGTGTCCAGTCTACATTTTTGTTTCCAGGCAGATTCTTTATGCAGGATGTACAAACAGGAGCAGAGGCTTAAGGCACACCACTAAAGACCGTTCACTGTGTTCACACACAATTAGCCACCAGCTCTCCCTGGGAATCCTTAGTGTCCAGCAAGTATCTTCTAGCTGCATGACACCAAAGCTATGTCTCATTCACTCACCCACAATGATTTCATAGGGGCCATTTCTTTAGCCAAGAGGAATGCTTCCATGACTTCAGCTACTGACATGAGGCATTTTGGAGAGACTTCTCAGCATCCCACAAACATCCTGTGTAGGTGGTCTAGGCCACTCCTGGTCAGACCCAAGCTACATGTGAGCATGAGGTTTAACCATGAAACTCAGCACGTAGGAATCTTCTTACAACTCAAGGGTTTTCCTTAGGCATCTTGAATCTAGGGCCAACATGACCTACTTTCAATGGGCATGAAAGGGATGTTCCAGAGGAGACAGCTCACTAACTTAAGTTTCCTGTGTGTCTGTGGCTGGGCAAGGTAGTCTCTCCCTGGCTTGTGTTACCAAGCTGGTCTGCACAACAGGAGGCCTTTTGAGAAAATGTTCACTTCAAAGGCTGTGCCTGTCATACCAGATGTCTGCTCTGTAGCCCTCTGGGTGACTGCAAATTCCCCAGAATCTGTGGCACCAGGCTTCGGCATGATGCTCCAGCTCTCCTCACGACACACCCTTCATCTTCCCAGCAACCAAGGATGGTGTTTTCTTTCTGATGGGAGTCTTCAGATCATGATGGATGCATTTTCCCCATCAAACATCAAAGCTGAATACTACGCTTGCTCATAGGCACTTCCAGAATTAGAAAGTTCTTCCCAACATTTCTTTTTTCCACTTAGTGGAATAGCTAGCATGTGTGAAGCCCTCGGGTTTGAATCTCCAGTAGCACATAAGCTCAACATGGTAGTGCACGCCTGGAATCCTAACACTTAGGAGGTGGAGGTAGGAGGATCAGAAGTCGAATGTCACCCTTCTTGGCTACCTATTGAGTTTTAGGCTCCATAAGACCCTGGCCTTCCCCTTAAACTAACTAAATAAACAAAATACATAAACACATCTTACCTCCCCCTTCATATGCTGAACAGTGTAACAAGTGCATATTTACATATGAAAGTGCTGCCCGCAGGGTCCCCTTTGCATGATTATTTATATTGTTGTTATTATTTTGCTGGTCGCAGATGAATCTTATTCTCTCATAAACCCATACTGGCTGATAGTTTGGCATTTTTTTTCCCTTCTATTTGCACCTTTAACATCTTCTTGGCCTCGGAGCCTGGCCAGCTCTTCTCTCCACTCCAAGTGGGTAGTCCTGAGCTTAAGGCCATTGAAGATGCCATAAATAAGTTCAGTGTCTGCTGAGGCAGGACAATGCCATGAAGGGACCTCTGCTCTGTGTGCTTTTCTTCACAGTATAGTTTAATACTTGATCTTGGGTGCTTCTCTGCCTAAGGGAACAATTATCTCTGGTCCACATTTCTAGGGAGAAGGAAATGGAAAAGTTGGAAATTTGTTCGCATGCGGTATCTAGAGTTCTGTGTGTTGGATGCAACACACATTAAGATGATTAAGATGGAGCATCTACCCTCCAGGAACTTCTGGTCCGTCAGAGAGCAGAGACACATTCAAGTGGGCACTGTTTCCTAGGGGGATGTAGAATGAGCACGGAAAGTTCTGGGACCCTGGGCTGTATAAGTGCCCGTCCTCCTCAATGACATTTCCGTGGAAAACCAAAGTTTGGCTAGCGGTATTCAGTCCCTGAATTGCATGGACTCCATGGCACTCTTGTTATCATGAATGAACACGCACATTTGAAGATGATGACTAGAAGGGGCCTCACACACCCAGTGGAGGGGAGGATGGGAACTCAGTCCATGCAGGCTGGGCCAGTTCCATTGTGTGCTGTGTGCTCTGAGGGCGGAGCAGAAAGAAGCAGCTGGGCAGTGGGGATCATGGAAGGATAACAAGTAGGGCACAGTCTGGGGACATTTCCTGGAGCATAAATTGTCAATTTCAAGTCTCTTTTCAAAAGTCAATCCAGGGGCTGGAGGGATGACACAGCAGTTAGGAGCACTGGTTTCTCTTCCAGAAGACCTGGGTTCACTTCCCAGCACCCGGACTGGCAGCTCACAACCATCCGTAACTCCAGTTCCAGGGGACCCAGTGCTCTCTTCTGGCCTCCTTGAGCACCACATAGACATATGGTTCACAGACATACATATGGGCAAATAAAACCCCATACACATAATGGTATCCATTCTCCAGAAATCCTTCACCTTGCCCTCACATCAAATCTAGCTGGCAATAGTCCTCACATAGCACCCAGTACTCAACATGCAGGCGAGACATATTGTACGCAGGGAAAAGAAAATACATTCAAGTGAGGATGCTATTGAGAGCAGGTGGAGGCTGAGAACACACAGCTCCTGGGTTCCATTCTCATGACCGCATGTGGGGTGAAGGGAAGGAAGCATAGAGCTTACCTCTATTTGGTTGATCAATGAGTTGTCAAATTTGAACCCAGGAATCCTTTTCTCGCTGCACACCACACCGACATCTTCTGTGTGCTTGCAGTCGCTGACGCCCCAGCCATTGGAGGAGCAGGCTGCCAGGGTTGCCTCTTTCCCAGTGCAGTGGGTATTGTCCAACCAGATGGGCCCTGGAGGAAGCGGAGGAGAGAAGGCAAGCATCCTGTCAGTACAGATCCAGGTGGCAAGGGTGTCCCTGGCATGGAATGCCCCTGGATTTTGGTGTGTAGCTGTCAGGTGATTTTTATTATACAAGGTTGTCACATCTAATCTTAGATCATGGTTAGGACAGAAATCAGGTTTAATCCTGGAAGCCGTGTGGTATATCTGTTGCCTTTCTCAATGGTACCTGGCAGAGACAACTTAGAGGAAAAAGGGTCAGTCCATTGTGGTGAGAAAGCGTGACATCAGGAAGTGAGATGGCTGGCCACACTGTGTCCCAGTCAGAGAGTGGTGAATTCTGGTGCTCAGCTGGCTTCCTTATTTTTCTCCTTTTAATTCAGTTTGGGATCCCAGATGGTACCACCCACAGTCAGGGTGGGTGTTCCTTCCTTAGTTAAATCGAGATGGAAACACCTTGATAGGTGTGCCCAAAGCTGAGTCTCTTAGGAGATTTTAAATCCAGTCAACTTGACCATAGAGTTTAATTTTATTTGTCATTACTATTGTGTATATGTGAGGGACATATGTTGGGGGCCAGGGGACATGTCACAGTGAGGAAGTGCGGAGATCAGAGAGCAATTTTTGTGGAGTTAGATCTCTCCTTCCGTGTTTATATGAGCCCCCTGGGGATCCAATTCGGGTGACCTTGCATGGAAAGCACCTTTACCCACTGAGTCACTTCACCCGTCTGACAATGAAGCTTTAGCACTGTGAGTGGACAGGGCCTTTTTGGGGAGTAAAGGAAGTCCTGTGTGAATGAGTAAGGAGCTGTCTAAATTACTTTTCAGTTGCTGTGACAAAACCAAGGCAACTTATAAGTGAAGGTGTTTATTTTGGGGCTCATGGATTCACAAGGTTAGAGTCCATGACAGGAGCTTTGCTGCTGGAGTAGTAGTTGAGAGATAACATCTTGAGACATAACCATGAAGCAGGGAGAGAGATCTGGGAGTGGCCTGTCCTTTTTTAACCTCAAAGCCTGCCCTCTGTGGCACATCTCCTCCAACAAGACCACACCTCCTAATCTTTCCCAAACAGTTCCACTAACTGGGGACCAAGCATTTAAATATATGAGCCTATGAGGAGTAGAGGGCAAACCATCACTGGAGCAGATAAAGTCTTGCGTGAATGTATATTATTGACAAGGACCCAGGTCTCAGGCCCATAGCAACTAGCAATGCCTTCCTCTGATTCATGTGTGAATATTGACGGTGTGGGCAAAACCTAGTAACTGCAGCTTCTTTCTCTTGTATGCCTGCAACCTGAGATTGATTGCTCCCCTACAGAGATCTCCTACTGAGACCCTCTAGCCCCTCCTTCTAGGCTGCACATAATGCAGAGGCTGAAGTTCTGAATTGTTGTAATCCATGCTGCTCCACCAGAACCAGCACAGCCCACCTGATCTCAGATTTCCTGTCTGCGTGTCTGTGTGTTTTCTGTCCTTTCTTCCTTCCCTTGCTGCCCCAATCGAGTTTCCAGGACCAAGCCACTCCGGATGCACTAGGCTTTGGAGACTAACTGGACTTTGAATTCTGGTTCAGTCTCTTTTTGAGCTTTGAAACTCAGGTCAAAGCCCCTTTCCTATGAGCAAAATGGAGGCAGTAAGGACTTGTGAGCTGCAGAGTTGTGGGTTGACTAGAAATAGTTCATCGCTGCTCTGAAGGGACTTGAAAATGGGGACAATGACAAGAATGTGGGGTTTGGTTATATCCACAACACAAGCCAGCCTCCCCTGCCTCTGTGTGGGGCAGCTGTCTTCTAGCCGCTCATGGAAATGCTCATCTGCTCTGTGATCAAGGGTTTGCTGCTTTTAGGGCACATCCACATGCATTATTACCTTGACCTTTGGGAGACCTAGGTGACACTATTACTCTCTCTTCATGGACACAGAGCCTGTCTCAGATAGCTCAGCCTCTGGGCACCATGCCATCCCTGAGAACAGAAGCCTAGAGTCAGTTCTCCAACTAGTGCCTTTTCAATTCTGTTTTTTATTTATTTGTTGTGTTTTTTTTTTTTTTCACCGTGCCTGGTTCAGAGAGAGACCATTACATCAGAGCCATTACTACACATTCAGTGAAGTCACTGTGTGGCTCACCTCCTCCTGTCCTTTCACCTTCCTTACACTAGCAGGAAACTCCTGGTTTGAATGCTTCCTTCCCAGCTGGAGGTACTGCTTTAGAAGGCTGGTAAATTTTTTGGAGGTGGGACCTTAATAGAAGGAAGTGAGTCATTGGGGGAGGACCCAGACATTTTATAGTGTGACCATAATTCTTGGCAGTTCCCTGCGTTCTGTTTGTCAACATATGAGGGGATAGGCCAGATTGATGGTACATGCCTTTCATCCCAGCACTCGGGAGGCAGAGACAGGTGGATCTTTGTGAGTTTGACGCCAGTCTGGTCTACATAGCAAGTTCCAGGGCAGCCAGGGCTACATAGTGAGACTTTGACTCAAAGAGCAAAAAACAAAGACAAAGATGAAAAGCGGAGAGGAGTCCCAGGATGCAGACCCCTGCTACTGTAGAGCCACCGTGATGGATGTTATGCTCCCAAACTGCAAGCCAACATGACCCTTCTTTTAGGATGCTTCTTGACAGACACTTGCTCACAGCAACAGGGAGCATATCTTCTGCAGGGAGCTACTGTTAAAGACACAGGAAATGGCAAATGCTCTGGTACGGATGAGGATGTGACGACACTGAAGCCTTTGTGTGTCAGTGGTACTGCTGCTGTGGGAAGCAGTACAGTGTTCCTCAGAACCTGGGTTTCTCTCTTTATCTCTGGCTGACTCGGAACTCCCTCTGAAGACCAGGCTGGTCTGAAACTCAGAGATATTCCTGCCTCCGCCTTCCGAGTACTGGGGTTAAAGGCTTCTTGTCACCACTGCCCAACTTTCAAAACTTGCTTTTTGTTTGTTTGTTTGTTTGTTTAGTTTGTTGTAGTGGGGGCCATGCTGGGAATAGGATTCTGGGCCTTGTGCATGCTAGGCAATTGCTCTACCACCAAGCTATGTTCTCAGCTCCCCTAAATTTAAAGCTATCACATAACTCAGAATTCCAAAACTGAAGCCAAGTGTGGGGGTATATGACTGTAATTATAGCTACTAAGCAGACTGAGGCAAGAGGATCACAAGTTCAAGGCCAACCTGTCTACATGCTGAGCTCTAAGTCAGCCTGGACAGCTTATTGAGACCCTGTCTCAAAATTTAAAAAAAGGTACAGATGTACTCAGATCTGTGTCTATAATCCATAGCTCTCAAAAGACTAAGTCAAGATTGTCAGGAGTCTGAGGCTAGATTAGGCTACACAGTGAGTTCCTGACTAGCCTGAGCTACTGAGTGAGATCTTGTCTCAAAAATTTTTTAATTAAATTAAAAAGACTGGGAGTGTCCATGAGAGAGAGAGCCAACCCATGACACTATTAATGATACTCTGCTATGCTTATAGACAGGAGCCTAACATAACTGTCTTCAAGATCCCTCATCCAGCAGCTGATGGAAACAGAGGCAGAGACCAAACAACACAGCCAAACAATAGGCGGAGCTCAGAGAGTTTTGAGGAAGAGTGGGAGGAAGGATTGAGAGAGCCGTAGGGGTCAAGAACACAAGAAAACCTACAGAGTCAACTAACCTGGGCCCATGGGGCCTCACAGAGACTGAACCACCAACCGAAGAGCACGCATGGGCTGCGCCTAGACCCCCTACGCATATGTAGCAGATGTGGAGCTTGGTCTTCATGTGGACCCCCTAACATTTGGAGTAGGGGCTGTCTCTCTTTGGATCCCTTTTCCCCAGCTGGGTTGCCTTGTCCAGCCTCAGTGGGAGAAGATGGGCTTATTCCTGCTGTGACTTGAGGTGCCAGGGTGGGTTGGTACCCCTTGGGGGCCTCCCTTTCTCTGAGGCAAAGGAGAGGGAGGAATGGGGGAGGGGCATGAGGGTGGGATTCAGAGAAGAAGAGAGAGGGGGCTGGGATAAGGCTGTAAAGTGATTAAATAAACTTTTAAAAACAACAAAGGAAAAAAAAAAGGCTGGGGGTGTAGCTCAGTGGTTGGGTGCTTGTCTAGTATCTACAAGGACCCACAACAAGAAGGAGAGGGAGGAAAAGAGGGACAGAGGGAGGGACAGTCATTGAAAACCAGGTGTGTTTACACCAGCACAATTCATAACTGCCAAAATATAGAAGCGGCTGACCTCTGCTGACAAACTGCATACATGTATGCAAAACTGCAGAAGGACCTTCAACATCAGACCTTGAGGACGTTCTGCTAAGCGGGAAAAGCTGGTCACAAAAGGCCAAACATGGGATGATTCCCACTGTTGTCAGATTCTGAGAGGCCGAGCGGAATGGGAATTGCCAGGGGCTGCATGGAGGATGGGGAAGGTTATTTAATAATGGGTCTGCAGTTTGTGTTTTGCAAGAATGTTCTGGACATTAGTCGCACAAAAATGGGAACATATGTACCACTCCTGAGCTGTCTATGCACTGCACGTGGTTAAAATGTAAGTTTTCTGACATGTGTTTGACTGCATTGAAAAACAGAAGACGTATGTCAGATGGTTTTCAAACAGTGATTTTGTACTTGAGTGGACATGTATGTATGTGTGTACTGTAGCTGCATAAGACATGTGTAATATTGCCCACATGTGTACATGCACAGCTTCCTCTAGTGATCTCTACCTTACCTTTTGCGACGGGGTCGCTTCCCTGAACCTGGAACTCATCAACTTGGCCAGGCTGGATGACCCAACGGCTTCTTGAGATTGGCTTTGCTCCCCAATGCAGGGGTTACACAAGTACCGCCTTCATGTTGGCTTTTAGGTGGGTGCTAGGGATTCGAACCCAGGTCCTCACATTTGCACAGCAAGCATCTTGCCCCCTGAGCCTCTGCAAAGCCAAACCAAACCAAGCCTATCATTTTTCTGTGGGTCCTTTTAGAGGCCTAAAGAAGAGCAGGCCCACAAACCTGTGTTTAAGTC